ATATTACGCAGGTGGAAGAAGGCGGTCCTGGTAACTTTTTTAATGTGGGAGTTAAAAGACATGTCCTGATCAAAAATAACACCAAGGTTCTTTACATTAGAACTGGAGGCCAGATTAATGCCATCCAGAGGAAGTGAAAGGCTACAAAGTTGATCTCTAAGATGTTCAGGTCCARGAACCATAACCTCTGTCTTATCWGAGTTTAGAAGCAGAAAATTAAGAGTCATCCATGGATACGTCCAAGACACATTTAATGTGTCGCACTCTACTTCAACCCACCTGAGTTCTGCTCCATTGTTTTGGTTCAACTCTGCCATCAGAGAAAGAATATAACCAGACTGGTTTGTGCAGTCATTTTGTGGATGAAAGAGCTTTCAGAGCAGGGGTGTCAAATCTTGGTAAATTTAGACGTATCAATTACTGAATCAGGTGTGTTGGAGCAGTTAAACAAAGAAAACATGCATGATAGTGGCCTTCAAGGACACAACCAAYCATTCACACACTCTTTCACACTTAGGAACAATTTAGAGTTGCCAMTTAGCCTAACATGGATGTTTTTGGTGTGCATGAGCAAACAGAAGTATCCAGAAGAAACCCATGCACTGAGAGAACATACAAACTCCACCCAGAAAGGTCCACAGTCGCAATTCGATCTGGCATTCTAGCAATATTGAAACAAACAGGTTCCTGTATTCCATCTAAACAAACCATTCTTGCTTTGCTTTAGTTCATGTTGCTTTAGAAAGAATTGTCTTCTTCTCTTGTCAGTTTGTCTGGTTGCCTGCACCKGTCAATGATATCATTTCAGTGACAGGTCAGAACCATTACACCCCTAATTTATGATGTGAAGTTGCAACTAAATGAAAATGCAAGTACCAAATTTTTTGCATTGTGCAATAGTAAATATATCAGAACATTTATAATTAGAAATATTTGATATTTATTGTAGTGGAGACAGTCCAGGAGGCTCCAAGTTGCTATGCTGATTCAACCATCATCATCACTGGAGACCTGCCAAGTCCTGAGTTAGAATTCAACAAACGTCTGAAATCAAATGGAGAGAGAAAACTCACACACACACACACACACACACACACACACACACACACACACACACACACACACACA